CGGACAGTATATTTATAGAGAATTGTAGCTACGGTGCATAAATATCTATCTTAGATTGCAGAAGCAAACCAGGAGACACATTTTCTCTAGATTCACAAGTAGGTCAATGAACTCATCCATCTAGAACAGTGAACAAATTTCAGTGTACATACCTGTAATTTTGACCTAAACAAAACCACTGACTTGGTTTTTCCGAATTTCTCCACAGCAGAAATCACTTCACTGTGAGAGAGACTACTGACAATCCCTTGTAGCCTCACCATGGTTGGAGGGGAAGATTTAGCAGCCTGTGGAAACACAGCGAAGAAAAATATGAACAAACCAAATGCAGATTTCATCATGACAACTGGACTCAAAGTTTGTGCTTGTATAAATTTGTGTTGAAGGATTTAATCTTGGTTTCTTGGCATCAACAATCGCGTCATCTGTCACTATTTATTATATTATAAATAATCCAAAACATTACATTCATGAAAAAAGGCATAACATGAAGTCACCTTGGTCTTCTCTGTGCTAGGCCTCCCTTTAGTTGTTTCTGGAGATGCAGAACGTGAGGACGATGATGATGATGTTGATGGGGATGACTTCATCTTGGCTAGCTCAGCCAACAGGGCAGGAGCCAAAGTTTTGACGACAGTCTCCAGGTCAGACTGTTTTGATAAGGACTGGAGAGCTAAAAGACCACAGGTGCAAAAGAGATTCACACTTTGGTGGGTGCCAAGTCTCAAAAATCATTTTTTGTAATAGTAGAAAAAACTATACTGACATTTTCTGGTGGTGCTGGTCTTTATTTATAATTTGCATTAGTAAAGTTAATGTTGTGTGTGTGTATGTGTGTGTGTTTTTGGTTTTTTTTGGGGGGGGGAGACAAATTTGATGTTAGAAAAACCTAATGAGTACATACCAAAAAACACCATGAAGCAATTTTCAAACCTGATGTTTCCAGCAGTTTCTTTGCCAAGATCTGCGAGCTGCTCAACCTTCGCATAGGAGATGACCTCTCAGTTGACGATCGCCTCTCCCAGCTTCTCCTTGGTGATGAACGTTTCTCATCTCTTCTTCTCGGCGAGGATCGTCTCTCGCGGCCCCTTGAGCGTGATCGATATCGGGAAGAGGAAGGACGGTCATACCACGAGGAGTCAGAATGAGACCGGGACCTGAAAAAAGTATTAATCAAAGAACTTAATGACTCATAAACATCTCAAAGCAAACATCCAGCATGGATACAAAAGGTAAATACTGTCCACCAATTAAGTGTTTAAGTTTACATTATTAAATAAATTACATTTCGCCCTCTCCAATGGAGAGCTAAATCGTCTTGATTGATCCTAGCTCTCAAAATGTATGTTGGACAGACCTGCGATTACGTCTGGAGCTGTACGGAGATCGTGATCGGCTTCTGTGTCTCTCCCTTCGGGGGCTGCGTGATCGAGAATGGGAATGACTAATTCGTCTGTCCCTCCTACGCTCCAAGTCACGGCGGCGACGTGGACTGCCGGAGCGGGAATGGCTACTTCGTCTATTTCTTCTTCGCAACGAGTCACGATGAGTGCGGGGGCTGCGAGAGCGGGAACGGCTACTTTGCCTGTCCCTGCTACGCTCCGAGTCACGATGGCTCTGGGGGCTGGAGGAACGGGAACGACTCTCATGTCTGGTTTTCTTCTGGGAGGTCTCAGCAGAAGTTGAGGGAGAGGGCTTGGCACCTGACGCACTAACAATTGCATATAAAAAGAAAGGCACATGTTAAATCAAAGAAAAAGAAAGCCTCCAATGCTGGCATATTTTTTTATTTGCCAAATGACTTCAAATGAAGATATTTACCCTAGCAGTGATGCTTTTTCACCGTTCCATTCTGGGTATCTGTGGAAAAACACAGATAAATTTTTTGTCAGATGTTGCAAGGTAGAATGTCCTTAAAAATATATTATTGTTCATTAATTAAGACATTTATTCAGCTTCAAAACAATTTAGGTTAAGGGAAATGGCGCATGGTAAATGCTGCAAATCCTTAAGGTGCTTTAAATTAAAAAATACAATTGAACAGTTCTTAGGAAGCTATCCTAGCATTACAACCCCGGCATCATTTTGGCACACCCATGGTTGTGCTGCCCCAAAGATATCGGTTCATAATCACGAAGTACAGAGAAGAAAGATTGACCGCTTTTGCAGAAGTTTGCAGTTCTCGATGTGAAGGCTGGTATTCTGGTGGGAGACCCAATCCTAGTGGTCACAACAAAAAACAAACATTTAAACAAGGTTTATTATTATCAGGAGCAACGTTTGTCATTGACATCACTTGCTGATAAAAGGTCACTAAACTTTGCAGTGGCCTTAAAAAACTTCTTAAAATATTAACAGTTAGTCCTTCACTGAACGGAGAAGCATTATAACATTAGCCAGGAGCCTGGATTGTACTTAGAAACATTGATAGACCAAAAAAACAAGAACAAATAAGCATGACACATTATACCTCTCCTGGGATAAAATTTTAAAAGTGAAATTATTTAGTATATATAGAAAACACAAGTCAAACATCTGATTACACACAACCAAAACAAAACAAAAGGATCATCTTAGGCTCTGGATTCTGGACTCTCAGGCTCTTCTTATGGCATCAAACTTTCCCGAGGCTCCAAGAAGGTCGTCTCAGGAGAGGCCAAGTTTGGATTAGGACAAAATGCACCACCTACGACGATCACAGTTGGAGTAGCGACAAGAAGATGACGTTGAAATAGGCCAGAAGAGGAAGGCGCTGTTGCCAAGCTGCCTACTAATGTGAAATAAAGGACAAAACATACTATTCTTAACTCTAATGACAAAAGACAAAAAGGGGAACTTTCACATTCAGCAACAATTCCAGAAAAAGCCAAGCTGAATGTGCACTGTGGAACAGCAGCCCAAGGACAGAGAAATGAAAAAACAGCCATCTTTCAACATTTTCTGTTGCACAGGCTCTTCAGGTTTGCAGGTTTCTCCTCATCACGTCATCTGAGGCCTTGGTTCCATTGTTAGCAAAAGCCTTGAATGTCTTCGCATCAGTTTATGTCAATTTAAAAGAGATTAAATCTATCAATTGCAAGTACAGACTACTGAAGATTCTGAAGTTCTCTTATTAGTAGTGTTTTTCAATTACAATATCTGATAGACATATAGTTAAGTTTAGTCTGCGCTGTAATCCTTCAGAAATTCTGTTACAGAATACTGAATTGCAGAAATATGTGAAAATTTGTCCAAATGTTTGTATTCCAAGTTGGTAGTCTTCCTACAGTCACCATCATGCAGGAATAGTGAACAAAAAAAAAAAAAAACTTTAAAGTAGCATACATGAAGTTTTTCCCAAACCAAAGTCCTATAATGGGATCCAAAATCAAATAAAAAACAAAAAACATTGCATGTCAAATAAATAAAAACTGACAGAAAGCAAAAACATCGAACAATCTTTCACTTACCTTTATCTGATTACATTCCTTGTTACATAGAGAGCAGGTATGAGGAAAGACCCTAGGTGAAGCGGCAGTGTAGTCTTGCATCTGGGCCAGCACTGGGATATTCCCTGTCACTTCTACCTTTGCTGGAAGCTGCTTGGTGGAAGCGGGCTGCGGTATATGAATGAAATTCATGAAGTTCTGCATTACCGGCGAGAGACCCGGAGGAACGGGCAT